TTGGCAGGATCAGAGAGGCTCTCTGATCCTGCCAATCCCTCCCCTGGCCCCCCCAGCGTCCCCCTGCTTGATGCCTCTCAACTGCCCCTGATCCTGCAAACTTTTCCTGGGGCTAGTTTCACTGGTGTTCACTGGTCCAACTGGGGTTGGTTACTGGGGGCGGGTTAGAAAAAGTGCAGCTCCAGGGCTGGGGCCAGTGGCTGGGCTTGCACTGGGAAAGTGTATAGAACATGGCCGATGCATAGCGGGTATATGCAAGTGGCAGTGCACCTCCTGCAAAAAGGTGCCACCAACACTGTTGGTGGCGCCTGCAGGTGGTTGCTGCTTGCTACTCCACCACTGGCAGCGTCTGCGGTCGGTCCCTGATTGCCCCTGGCTTCTGCCGATGCTGCCAGTGGTGCCTGTGGGTGGTCACCAACCCATGGTCAGCACTTGCCACCCCCCACCCCCAACCCGCTACTGACAGAGGCAGCGGCATCTGTGGGAGCTCCCCTGTCACTGCCGCTGGGCTTCTGCCACTGCCACTGTTGTGCTTCTGCCACTGCCACCACAGCCAAGGCCCCCCAGCCGCCGGGGGCACATGCAGTTCATGGTATAGAAGTTCAGTAGATCAGTCTCACTGTACCCACCTCCAGGGTAGAGTTAAATTAGATTGAGTCAGCCATTTTTTGACCAATCTAACCTTCTGAGAACTTCCACACAATTCATACTTAAATCCATTTAACCAGGGATCCATGTAAGGTCCACAGATAGGTAAACTAAATTAAATCAGGTGCTCATTTTTAATGCACTCTAACCTCCCCCTAAACTCCCCAAATGTCTGTGCGTACTCCCAGAGAGCTTACTAATCAAGATTCCAGTAGAGCAAACACATATGTATACATACGTAGGCGTAACTTTACACTTAGTAGCCCCGCTGAAGTCAAACAGCTACTTATGTATAAAATTAAGTTTGCATTATTTTAGAAGATGGTGAAAAATATTTCTTAATTACTACCTTATTAATTTTTTTATTTCTGTTAAGCTTTCAGATGGAAATGAGAATTCAATTATATTATAAAACACAAAGATTTTAAACTTGCTGCTTATTACATAAAATATGCTGCATACCTGAGGAAAAATGTCAGAATACATTTAAAACTAACTAACTAATTCATGAAGCAAAGGAAGTATTATTTAGAGTTGATGAATGGAATCGCTTGGTTTTGGTTACCATGTCCTTCAAGAACCACTAGTAGTTGATCTCAGCTTCTTACCAGTGGTGATGCATAGGGGTGCATGGGGCACCCCCTGAGAGCGCTGGTGCACTCCCTGACCGGCCTCACTCCCCACTTAAGTGATGGGTGGGGGGGCAGGGGCAGGCAGGAGCACTGGTACTCCCTGCAAGCGGCAGCTGGGGAGTGGGAGCACTGGATGTAAGCCACAGCCACTTCCAGAAGTGCTGTGGCCACTTCTGGGAGCGCTGCACAGCCACTCACCAGTTGGTAAGTGTTGCTGCGGGGGGACCCTGCTCACCCCCCAATGGGTGAGATCCCCAGTCAGTGAGATTGGCTGGCGGGGATCCCCTGGTTGCTGACTGGTCACTGGGGGAGCATGTGCCCCCCCCGGACTAAGGTGGCACCAGTCGCCCGTGCTTCTTACACTTGGAAGACACCATTTATAGCTTTAAAGAAGAAACAAATATAGCTACTTTTAAACTCCCTATCTGCTTCTAAATTTTGAATGTAGTAATTTAATTTAATGTAGTTTAAGAAAATCTTCTTTCTTCAGAGCAGAAGGAGCTGTAGTTATCAAAAATGAATTTATCACTTTAAAAATCTGGTGCCAGGGCTTAGCCAGTTTCATAGTTTCTAGGGTTGGAAGGGACCTGAGCAG